GAATTCAATCCTAGTTTGGCTCAAAGTCTCCATTTAACCTTCAATTACTACATTTGACCTGCTTAAAACATTCTGCCTAGCGGTAACTATCTCAATGCACACTAGCCTTTAAAAGCCCTTATCAACTCAAACGAGCATACAATAGCCTTCCCTCACTGATAAAATAATTGCTTACTGGTTGGCTTCCATCTTTGATTATCAGTTGCCTCATCTCTAGTTAAATTTTAACTTTAAGCAAAACTAAAGTTTGGAAATACTAGTTAGTAACTAGTTACTCTAAACTGGGTTTTTATTGCAAATTTTGCTCTGATACTATTTCGGACAAAGCACGGGAAGTACTAGCGTTACAGCTAATAAAGTGCATGAATAGTGCTAAACTAATAGTCCGAGTGAATGGTGCATAATGAATAGTATTATGTGACAATGAACCTATCTACCGTAAATAGTATATTATTTAAAATTTAGTACAAGGTAACTACTCCTTACTTTTTATGTTAAACTTTTTAACTTTTCACCTATTACTTAGGTTACTGTCGCACACAAAAAATAAGCAGCCCTTTGGATACATGTATTTCTATTACAATTTTATAAAGGTTATTTGGATACATGTATTTCTATTACAAGGAAATAGATTACGAGGAAATACATCATTTTCAGCATTTGGGTACAACACAGTGAGCAGGATATGAAACACATTACCTAATTTTTTTTTCAAAATCATGAAAGCCATTACCCACCCCAATAGCTAAAAACTATATTACGAAAAAAAGACAGGAAATATCTACCCAACAGACCCGCTAGAAAATATTAACTATGATTTATAAATTTGAAGACCCCTTATCTTCCACCTCTCTCGCGCTGAAAAACTTTCTTCCTTGTGCTTGCTTCGCACCAGTAAGATCAGGCTTTCATCTCTCAACTTGGCACCTCGGTAGTTGCCCCTTTTGGCCTGAAACCCTAGTTTTTCGTCTAAAACTACTTGAATTTCATTTTTCGGTGGTTTCTTAGCAGGATTTCAGAACCCACATTTTCAAAGTATATCATCTTTCTGAGCTTTAGCTCATTCATGGTCGTACACTCCATTTCTTTGTCTCTCTCTAACCCATTTGGGTATCAGTTCAAATGAATTTTTGGGATTCTCAGGGACCAAGCAAAACTAAAGTTAAGGAAAACAACTTCATTGAGGAAGGCTATTCCGATGAACATACCACAACCAAATATGGTCATAAGACAGTATAAATACCTGGAGCTTATCTCGAACTCCTCGAGGGACCAATGAATAGAATTACAGTCTTGACTCAGTTCGAGTTCACCAACTCTAACCTGCAACTACAATATTTAATGTGGAGTCAGATTACAGAGTTCCCAACATGTTTAATTTGATGAATTTGGGGCTTTAATAACTAATAATGGTTGAAAGCCAAAGCAGCCCACACATAAGAAGCTCCCATCCATGTCTCTCTAAAAAGGTCTCTCTCTCTAGTTTGGGGACTCTCTAAAACTATCTCTCTCTCTCAAGCTTTGGGGACTCTCTCTTCCACTCATCGTTATAACAATCTATTTTTGTATAAAATGTGCTTCTTTTCTTTATTGCTTTGGGATAATTTATGTAGTTTAGTAATATGATGTTAGTTGAATTATATTGTGATTAATGGTTGATTTTATTTTTTATTTTTTATTTAGAATGTGTTTCTTGAGTAAAATGTAGTAATAGTAGGGTGGCAATTTTATTGGGTTACAATGGGTTCGCCTTTTATATTTTATTTTTTGTAAATTCAAACTTGCCGCGTAATAGTTGCCGAATAAAATTAACCCATTGGGATATTACTTTTACATATTAGAAAACAAAGTAGTTATAATTGATATTTTATACTAAAAAAAGTATTAAAAAAACCATATTACTATAGATGAAATTAACATAGTATTTCCTACCCAAAATGTCGGTAATTCATTTTCTAGATTTTTTTCACACATAGCCAAACAGTAGCAATGTATTTCTCAGGTTGCATCTAATTACTACCCAAACAGTAATAATCTATTTGCAGGTAATGTATTACCCATAAATGTATTACGCCAGTAATAAAGTTCACAAACAATATATTTTCAAGTATCCAAATGACCCTAAAGAAATAGTGATTGCATTAAAAGTTTCACATGCACACGAGCTGCCCTATTTTTTATGTTCTTGGTAGGTATGAGTATATTTTTTATGTTCTTGGCAGGTCTGGGTAATTTAACTGGTATGGATCGTTGAAGCGACAATTTGGATTGTTATTTTACTATGTGAAAAAATAATAAAGAAACAAAAAAACATGTGAAAAAATAATAAACTCACTAAAAACAAGTTCAAATTGATGACATGGCTGTTATTATTTAATTTTTTATAAACACACGTTTAAAATTTCAAGTGATTTGGATGAGTAGAAAAAAAAATTAAAATTCAAGTACTACTAGACATCCGTAATCATCAGATCGACCCAAATTCAATATAAACTGTTTGACTCATAGGTTCGTATGACTTAATACGCTAATCCCATCTTTTTTTCTATATATATATATATATATATACCAATTCTCATGTTCAACAAGGCCATATATACCAATCCTCATGTTCAACAAGGCCATTCCGTGCCGACGGGCGACCGTGCATTTTTTGTTTACAGGCGTTGCATTTTTTGTTTATAGGCGTTGGAGACTTTGACGGGAAATAACCGTGTTTAATCTGTGTCGCATGTGGTATACTATCGCAGGATCATACTATCAACTTACTACCTTGAATAAAAAGATCAAAGGAGGACTTTGGACTATACATTTTAGTGCAACTAAAAATTACCAAATAATTATTTCAAAAACCATAAATTTGAATTTTGAGTTCCCCATCTGTACAAAATTTAGGAGTCTATGTTCAACTTCAGGATGTTTTTCAACCTAGAGAAGAGTATGATTGAAGTTTTTTTGATAAGTTAGTCAAATGGAAATCTAGTAAACATCTCTAATATTTTAAATTTTTTTATTGGATAGTTCATGGTAGGAATCAAACTTGAGATGCAGCCTCAAACTTTAAATATTTTGCTAATATGTTAAAGAATTTAAAAATCTCCATCCATATTTCATATTTTAACAATCATATTTGTTTTTTTAGGAGTGTCCTGTATTTTAATTTTATTCATCGAGTTGAACTCAAACCTTTGGTCTACACATATCCCACCATCATGCACATGTATGGAGTACAAAAAAAAAAAAAATTGAAAGAAAAATACCAAAATAAACTAGAACCCTTAAAAATCGTAGGAATATTTTAGTTATTTTATTTTTGTTGAACAAAATTATTAAAAAAACACACTTTCAAAATATGGAATGTTTTCAAAAATATTAAAAAAATGGAGTGTTTTTAAATTTATTTTTAAAAAATAATAATAATCATCATCATCAACTTCACCAACATGAATCCTATTTAGCGTGTTTGCTCTATCTTTACCCTTTTAGAACCTTCAACTTGGACCAAGTCGTACCTCCAAACCAATATTTCACTAGATTTGGGTTGCAAAAAATAGCTAGCCCCCTACTTTCCCATCATCATCAACATGGGAGTGTCTTGTATTTTAATTTTTTTCATCGAATTGAACTCAAACCTTTGGTCTACACATTTCCCACAAACATGCACATGTATGGAGTACAAAAACATAAAAGATTTGGAAGGAAAGTACCAAAATAAACAAAAACAGTTAAAACTTGTATGAACACTTTAATAATTTTATTTTTATTGAATAAAATTATTAAAAAAACACTTTCAAAAAAGTGGGATTTTTTAAAGGGTTGTATTCGCGGTCTCACACTATAAAATAATTTATCATTATACTCAACAAAACTTGGACACATATATACCATGTTTCTTATATGAAGTTTTTTTTAGTGATGATATTTTTGGTAATTAAGAGGGATATGATGTCATCTATATGGGGTGTCACATCATCCAAATGAAACATCAAATGGTACTAGTGTGTTCCATGTGGGTGATGTCACACCTCGTGTCGATGACATGACACCCTTCTTAACGATAAAAATACTCTTATTAAAAACATGTCCAATGTACAAAATAAAAATATACAAGTATCCAAAATTGTTGAGTACAACAATAAATTACTATATAGTGTGAGCACTCTAACATTACTCCTTTTAAAATTATTAAAAATGAGATGTTTTTTAAATGACATATTAAAAATAAAAAAAATCATCATTATCATTATCTTGACCTCACATAAATCTTATTTTGCCATTTTGCTCTACCCTTACTATTTTAGAACTATCCACTTGAACCAAGTCGTTCCTCCTAACCAATGCTTTATTAAGTCTAAGTTGCTACATGGCTAGCACCTAATTCTACTTTACCTTGTCTTATCGCATTTCCCTCATCTTATAGCCTATTTAGGCCACAACTAAGTTCTTTCAATTATATTTATCCCGAATTTTATTTTTTCTTATCTTGTATTAAAAAAAAAAAATCGAAATAAAAAATATGTACCAAATTTTATAAAGAAAATGGTTTGATAGGGTTTTAGCCCTATCGAAATAAATAAATCGTCACTTCATAATTCATCGAAATTTCAAGTCATGCATCGAAAGACCTTTGCTCATATCATATCAACTTGAACATTATGGTTGTCAAAAAAAAAAAAAAAAAAAGATTTCAAGCTCTAAAAATAATATATATTGTAACAAATTATCTAGACCATCTATTTTGCTTTAAAAATAATTGTAAACGGTATAAAAGATCTATACCATTATTTGAGTTCCAAAATTTATTGTCGACGTTGGAAATTGATTTTAGAGCCATCATAGAGATTTTCATCTCCGGAAGTACTTTCTAGACAAGGATTTCGGATGAGCTTTATTTTGTTTTAATAAATTGCAGGCTTTATAAAACCTCCTCCAATTTATAATCCTCAAAACTTCGGTTCGGTATACTGCAATTTTCTAGAGGGACTAAATGAACAGCAAGCTCCGCCGGAGCGTGATATCATTTGACACGCCTTCTATGAACCTTTCCGAATGGCAAAACGATATCCAGTCTCATTGCTGTCGTTACAGCTTTGGGATCCCTCTTTCTTCATTCAGGCGGCTTGAAACCCTAGAATTTCTGTATTCATTACGATTTGAAATTTTGTATAGATCAATATGATTACGATTCCTTATGTAACAGCGTTAACAACTCTGTTTAGCTATGGTTTGCTCTTTGTATTTGGCCAGTTTAGAGACCTGTTCAGGAAACTATGGAGACGGATCTCGTCCAAGAAAGAGGTAATTAGGGTTTTTATGGTTCATAATGCGTGCAATTCCTTTTTATGAGCTTTTTTTCTTCTTTTTTTAAATATTCCTTTGTTGATCTAATTGTTTTTATTAAGATTTCAGTGATGATTTTAATGGATTTTGTTGTTTTACTGTCTAAATGAAATGATTACATTGTGCTGGTTTGGTTTTTGTGATTAATTTAATGCTTGAAATGTGAAATGTGCCGTCTAAATTGTCTCAGATTTGTCAATTCACGTTTTACGAAAGCAATTATATGCTCTGCTCGCTCTTGGTGAAATTTTCCGTATTCTATGCTCTAATTTTGGCATTAGAAGTCATAAACTTTATTGTGATGTGGTTATTATATTGTACGTGTTTTGATTGTGTAAAATGCATATTTGGCTTGATGCAGTTGTATGCACCTATTGTCCTAGAGAATGAGGATTTCTACACGCGCCGGCTTTATCTTCGCATTCAGGTAAACTTTTAATTCATAGAATCATGTAATAGTTGCTCTTTTTTATTTTCAACGTCTGGTGTATTTATTTTGGGCCTAAATTTTCACTTGCTTTCATATCATTAATGGATATATGTAATTCATTATTCATTACTGCACGTGCTAATTCTTCTGTAATTCTTTTGTTCATATGTAGATTATTATACTTTGCTGCACTTCTTTTTCCCTCTAATTATATTTGTCAGTCCATAGAAAACTGGACTGGGCAAATACTGATTAATAAGAATATTCTTTATTTATTGGCAGGACTGTTTTGGACGCCCAATCTCAAGTGCACCTGATTCTTGGTTTGATTTGGTTGAGCGTTACTCAACAGACTGTAACAAAACGCTAATGTGAATATTTATTTTATTCTCTCTATTGCAGTAAAATAAGTGAGATTCTTTAGGAAGTTAGCTGCTATAATTATGAGCTATGCATATTCTTTTGTTGATTTTTTAATTTTCCATTCTTGTAGTTACAGTCATGGTTAGTCTTTGCAACCTCCATCATGGCCTTTTGGAATCATCTAATATTAGTATATTTCTTTGCTTGTTAAATTCTTGATTAATACTACATTGTACAGACGGACTTCAAAAACAAGAAGATGCCTTAACTTGGGTTCCTACAATTATCTTGGATTTGCATCCTCAGATGAGTACTGCACACCACGTGCAATTGAGTCATTGAAGAGATATTCACCTAGCACTTGCAGTAACCGTGTTGATGCCGGTATGTATCTTGTGAGACATAATTTTACTGCGAAGGTTGAGATTATCTGGTAGTAGGTACTACAATTTATTCTGGTATTATGTATCTGGAAATGCATAATTTACTCAGGCATTTTCTGGTATTAGGCACAACCAATTTGCACACAGAAGTTGAGGAATTAGTTGCTAGTTTTGTTGGGAAGCCCTCAGCTGTGGTCTTTGGCATGGGCTATGCGACGAACTCAGCCATTATTCCTGTCCTTATTGGAAAGGTTCGTATTGAATTTTGCATTCATAAATATTATAGGATGGCTATGTGTTCTGTATTGGTGGTGGCCATCTTTTAATTTTGGTTGTCATTGGTCACAGGGGGGATTGATAATTAGTGACTCATTGAACCATAGTTCTATTGTTAATGGTGCTCGTGGATCAGGTGCTACAATTAGGGTTTTCCGACACAATAGTAAGTCGCAGCGAGAATGATTTTCTAACCTATTCATATTAGAAAGTGTATAGGTCCAACATCTGCATTGTTTATTTTGTCAATTCTTGATTATGCATATTTTTGCTTTCAGCACCATTGCACTTGGAGGAAGTTCTAAGAGAAGCAATAGCCGAAGGGCTTCCAAGAACTCATCGACCATGGAAAAAGATAATTGTGATTGTAGAAGGAATCTATAGCATGGAGGGGGAACTCTGCCAACTTCCAGAGATAGTAGCAGTCTGTAAGAAATATAAGGTTGTCTATTATTTTGATGATGCATTCTCTAATTGCTTTTTTCTTTAAGACGTATGTTGCCACAGTAATGTTATTTTGAATTTATGAGTGTAGTGTATTCTAAATAATATTTTAACCTATGCTTCCTACATGAATTTTGCCCCGTTAAGTTATCAATGGTTCTTATGAAATTGGGATTTTTCTCAATCTCCATTAAATGTTTGTGTTGGCATGAGAGAACTGTTGGATTATTGTTAAATCTACACTAATTATTGTGATTCTTTTGACAAGTATTGGACTATTATTGTCAAAGTAACTTCCTAGTTATATTGCATCATGCATGGATTTTAATCTTGGAGCGTATACATACTTATGTGTTGTTCTTCTTCCTGCTTTTTTTTTTTTCTAAATTTAAACTTGACTTCAAGTCCTTTGAGTATGACATGAGTGTCTATATTAACTCTAGTATATGTATATATATATATTTTTAATATCTACAATTGTTTTACCTATTTTTTGCTAATGACTACATTCATTTGTCTACGAATTTATTAAAGACATTCATTCGTCTACGAATTTATTAAAGCCTTCTGAACTGAACTAATATAGCAACCCTACTGTTGATTATTTCTGATTTTAGTACATTTGATTGTTTTTCCTTGTCTACTTCTAACATGAAGCATATTTAAGGAGACTTTAGGAATATGTCATTCGATATTTTTAGACCAAATACACAAATGCCTGTATACATATATGTAGATTTCTTCAAAAAGATGTAGAATCATGCGCACACAATTATGTTATACATTCATAAACTCCATTAGTTATACTTGATATGTTATTCTGCCAATTTGGCTTTTAGAAATTCTTTGAATGGCACTATTAAGACATGTGATTCTTATTTTAATCATGTATTTGTTGTTGTTATATATTTTCTAGGTCAATATCTTCGACGATGAAAGATATTGACCTATCTTTCATTGTCAGAAGATATCGACCTAGAACATATACAATGACAAGAAAAATATTTTCTAGGTAGATATCTTTTGTCATCTATTCTGCATGAATTTATAGTGACATTATATTTCAGATTTCTGATATAGAGTTCTTCTGGATTTTACTTTGCTTTTCTCTGAGAAAGCTTTTTGCTTTTCAGTTTCCGAATTATGATCTTAACATGTCTTTGTAGGCAGTTTTCACCTATATCTTCTTGTTTTTTTTTTTTCCCTGAACTAGGCCTACATATATCTAGATGAGGCTCACAGCATTGGAGCAGTTGGTAAGTCAGGAAGAGGGGTTTGTGAGCTCCTTGGGGTGGATCCTGCTGATATTGACGTCATGATGGGAACTTTCACCAAGTCTTTTGGATCATGTGGGGGATACATTGCTGGATCCAAGGTCCATTTAGTAATTCAATACTTGTCTACTAAATCACACTATGTAATCTTTGTGTATTCTTTGTCATAGTTACTGTTATGGATAACGTAAATTGTATTTTCTCTAATATTGTGAGAATATCTCCTCATGTCTTTCATGGATTGTTTCTAGTGAATTGGTTTTCAATGACAATTATTGTGTTTCTGAATCATAGGCGCCATTCTATCTTTGGTAGGAACTCATTCAATATTTGAAGTATACGTGTCCAGCACATCTATATGCAACATCCATGTCGCCACCTGCTGTACAACAAGTTATTTCTGCCATTAAAGTCATTCTAGGAGAGGATGGTTCTAATAGAGGTTCAGAGTGTTTTATACTGAACTTTCTTATTGTCTTGAATCGATTGATTTAGATGTTCGTAAGTTTCTTTGCTTTTCTTTAAAAAAATTTCTTGTTTGTTGAGAAGCAATATTATGTTGTCTGCAGGGGCTCAGAAGCTTGTGCGAGTACGTGAGAACAGCAATTTTTTCAGATCGGAACTAAAGAAGATGGGATTTGAGGTTTTGGGTGATAATGACTCTCCAGTAATGCCAATAATGCTTTATAATCCGGCAAAAATTCCAGCCTTCTCTAGGGGGTGTCTTGAGGAGGATGTAAGTTTACTATCTTTTTTGTATTTCGTGCGAAAATGTGCAGACATATGCAGGCATATTTGATACAGATCCCAACTTCATCTTTCTAAACTTTGGGACTCCCTCTTATTAATTATTATTTTTTTATTAATATTAACCATATGGATTTACCTTTTTTTGTAGTTTCCTTCATATTATGTGATTTTAGAGTGAGTTATGGTGACACATTTTGATATCCCCATCTTGTTTGTGTACTGTGGTAGTCGAGAATTAAATTAGCATACTTCTTTGCTCACTGGTTAGTTGATGAGGTTTCTGGTATGTATCTTCTTCTACTTGCCACTTGGGGGTGTGGTATCAGAAATTGTTTAGGACATGGATAAAAGAAACAAGGTTTTTTTGAAGAGAAAAGGAAGATCGAGAAATGGGAGATCTTCTTAAGTTCTTTTTTATTGTTAACCTTTATTAATACACAGAAGATGCAAATATCTTGTGGTGTAAAACAATTTCGTACACATCATACAAGCATGAAGGGAATGCAATTCATGTACAAGTAGATTAATTGAAAAGGGAAGAAAGTTCTGAACAGTAATATCCTCTCTTGCCACTCTCTCCACTGCTAGGGATTTTATGACAACATTGATGTCTCTAAATGAGTCAAAAGAGAAGACAAGACAGCTATTTAGATAACTAAGCTTCTCCATATAATTATTGCCTTGTCCACTCATCCGTCTAATTATGTTTGTGAGCTGCCCTGCATGATTTGAGGATCCAACAATGCTAGGTATCTTGAGACAGTCAATTGGGGTCTCATTTTCATCTCTGTGAATCACAAAGTTTGAGTGGTCCATCAAAAGCCTTCAAAGCATTGTTCTTGAATATACCACAAATGCCAGAAGGACCAGGATATCTGAGGGCGCTGCTCCAAAATAAATGTTCTATTTATTAGGAAGCTCTATCTACTTTAGGTTTGATTCTCATACATATGCTTTGTTATTTTCTGTTCTGGTATAAAATCCTCGAACCTCATGACTTACCTCTAGGCAAATGTGCAAGAAGTGATGGAGGCCAAAGAACTCTTCCTTAACTAGTGTCGATAACCTAACATATGGCTGAGTGAATGCTTTCTTTACTACCTCACAACTAGTGTAAATGCCCAAAGGTATCCTTCATTGTTCATCTTCTAGTTCTTGGGACATTGCTAGGCACATCTTCCAAAGATTGCAGCCACTCTCTTTTTTTTTTTTGGGGGGGGAGATGACCACTCTCAAGGAACATGCCAGATATCCCAACTGCAGTTGAGTTAGCATCCGATGCTACATTACCTAAAAACAGACCAAGAAGATGGAAAAAGTGACTCGAGAAAATTACTTGAAATGATTTGATGCCTTTAGACTTGATGCTTAGACTGTCTTTTTTATATAACTTTTCAAGTGTTGCTACTTGCTAGCCAACCAAAAGGTAGCACCCCTGGGAGGCATGGCATAACACTAGATGGATACTCAACCTTGTGAAAAGCAAATTTGGTGACAATGTGACAGTACTAAGAATATTCTCCGGATAGCACTTCCAAATATCTCCTGTTTGGGTGGGCCCTGGAAACTCTACTATCTACTCATCTCTAGGATCCTTCTGGGGCAACAATCTTACATAATTTACACCATCCATTTCAAACAATCCTTAACTCTAGCATTCAGGTTGAGCACCACTACAATGAAAAAGACTGTGAAAACCCAGCTCTACTGCCATCCTTACTCCATCCATATGGAAGGCTTACGTAAACTTCTTCATTTGGGCCTCAATGCTCCAGTAGACCGACCCACATCCTTAACAACCAGAACCCTCAAAATAAGCATACATTCCGTTAGTTATGCTTCTTTTGGGATCACCATTGGTTAAGGTGCATGTAGTGGATTAGTGGCAAGACTTAATTGTGCCCTTTACAGTGGAGAGATTGATAGGCAGGGAAGCCATTTTAGATCAAATGCAAAACGCTGCTTATTGTCTGACTTTGCGAATGAGATTGTTGCAAACCAACACACAGTAACTGTCAACACCATCTCAGTCCTATCTTGCCAGAATACCTCCTGGAAGCTTTCCCAACCGAAGCCTAAACTTTTTCCAGAAACCCCCTTGGTTCCTTCCCAAATTTCGAGCACTACTATCCACATAGTGCCTTGTTCACCTGCATTTTCTTAAAGCCCTACTGCTAATTGCTTCTAAGGATTGTGGACTCCTTCCTACGCTTACTAAATGACACTTGTGCTCCACGCGAGAACACTTCAATAGTAAATCTTTTGAGATTCTTTTGAAGTTCCGCTTCCATCACTCCGGGGGTTTGGAGCATGTATTTAATGTACACCTGAATGTTAAATTTAAAGAATAAAAATGATACATAAATGTGTTACTTTATTATGAGAGTGACCCCTCAATCAAAGGATAGATATTGGCTCTTCCATTAGCTGTGTTTGCTTTTCACAATTCGATCCCATGGGATTTTCCTAGGCTCAAAGACATGCAAAGGTTGATCTAGACGGTTATTTGGGATCAACCTATCTTTCACCAATCGTCCTTCTACTTTGACTGGTCCCCCTAATCTGAAAACCCAATACTAGTCTCTTTTGCAAGTTCTTTCTTGGCCAAGTCTACCCCATAACGTTTGAAGACCATGATTCTAATTTGCCTTGAGCATCACAGAACACCAAAGTTATCTTTAGTTGGAAGACCACGAAGCAATATTGCTCTAGCCTAAAAACTTCCAAGTCTTGAATTAACTTTCCTGTTGATGTGCTGGCTTAAAGCCTCTGAATGATGCCAACGAGAATGGACAAAATGGGTCTCCATAACACAAACCTCTTGAGCTACCAATAAGCATCAAGGTGTTCGGGGGTGTTTTGATGCAAATGAAATCACCCAACAGGTAATCACTGTGAATATGGAGCATATAACTAGACTACGGTTCCAGGCAGGTGAAACCATGGATTTCAGACCTTTAAGTAGCCCCATGTTGCCATATAAGCGGGGGAAATATGATAATAAGTCCAAAGTGGCGGAAAATCACAAGAATCACCAGTTGGTGAGAGCAATCCTAAATCGGGCTCAAACCTTGCAGGTCTCTACGAAATGAGGAAAAGAAACCCTCAAGAAAGAACGAAGATCATAGTAAGGTGCACTGTCGTATTGCTGAATGGATGGTCAATAATGGAGCTTGGTCAAACTTTAGTCAAACCTGCAGGGTTACCCAAGGGTTTCAAATTCTAATTTGAGGTGCCTAGAAGGTGTCCTCCAAAACTCAGGTCATTCCGCTATCAGATGACCGAGGTATAAGCTCGCAAAGTTGGAGACCATTGAGAGAGTGCAGTCCGGATACAAAACGGCCCCAAATTTACAAAAGGACCCCTATAAATCCGTGGCCAAATTAACCTAAATTTTTATAGAAGAATGCATTCTCTTAAAAGCTTAAGTTTCAAATTTGAGCTCAATTGATAGCGAGAAGTTCGCATTTGAAGTGTCGTATACTGTGGCTTTGGTCTAGCAGTTCATGAACAATTTATAGCGAGTGACGAATCTTCTTCCTCCCAAATAGTTGATCGTAACTCATGATCCCCATCTCCAAATATGCTCAAATTTTGATATGTTATTCTCCATCCAAAGAGCTTTCCATCCATATATATACTGACGGAGTTCCAAACACTGATCATATCTTACAATCTGTGAAGCATTTTGGGCTAAAATTTAACAGTTATGACATTTCATTCAACTCCTTAAACATCTATATAATTTGTTGTAGGGTATAAAACCGAATTGGGGGTGGGATTGTAGAGAGAATTTGCTCGAAAAATGGAGACTGCTGAGTCCCATAAAAGAGCCTATAAGATGATCATAACTCCTTGATTCTTGAGTTTTTTATCCAAATTTCTTTCCAAATACTGCAAGTATGACTCCTGACAGTTTGTGTTGACAGATAGTCGAATAACGGCTAGTAAAGGGTGAAATTTGAAGGAATTGAAAAAAGTATGGGAGTTCTTCAAGTTTTAATGGCAAATCCACAAATTTCCAACGCATTCAAATACTGGAGTTTTGTATGGGAGTTCTTCAAGTTTTAATGGCACATCCACAAATTTCTAACACATTCAAATACTGAAGTTTTTTATCCAAATTTGTTGGAAAATGCTCATTGCAAGATGCTCTATAAAATTGTGGAAGAAGGAAAGGGGATCACACAAGGAGGAAATAGATGGAGAAATGATAGAGAAGCTGTCCAAGGGCAAATGTATGATATTTCCTAAATTTGGACCACGGAAAATGGTCATTTTTGCCCAAGCCTGAGCCAAGTTTTGAAAGTCCACCCTCCTATGACTTAGATTATTAATTTTCCACCCTGGTTTCCTAAACCTTCTATATTAACCCATGGAGTCTCATTTTCTATAGGTTAGCGACTTTGGCTTGGAACTTTAGTGAGACAGTGGAGAAGCCTAAGCCTATAGTGAGAAACAAATCCTTTTATTCAAAGTACCCTACCGAAAATCCCCAAATTCCAAGAGTACTCTTAGAAAATAGGGAAATATCAAAAACATCCCCAAAATTTCCCCCAAAATTAAATTTCCCTGGCTACCCCTAGAAAATTCCAAATCCCTTAACACTCAAATGAGAAAGTGCAGCAAGTGAACGAGATCGAAAACTAGAAGAAGGATTCTTTGAAGCATATCAACCTCGTTTGGCTAGATTCATTGATATGGGCATTGAGGCACACCTTCTCTTCTCACATGTATCGAGCAAGGTTGGGCCATATTTTCTGTGGGAGACCTTGACGTTGAATTCTCAATCCTCATATTGGCGCATTGAAGCGAGCGAGTGGGCATCCTCTGGCGAACATATAAGCCGGATGTCTAAGAGGATCAGCTAAATTCCGGTCCAGGAAATTCATAATCCCACCCCTTCTGTTAGTACCTTGGTACTGAATATATTAAATCGAAGTTGTTCTTTCCGTTATATGTGCTTTCTCTGGTTTGCCTTCTTTACTTAAGAGTCAAATTATAATCAAAACAAACCCGCACGTGCACACAAGTGGGATGGCACACTAGGGTCCTATTGTTAATACTTCATCAAAACCGAACATCGCTGCCCTCTTTCTTCACCTTTATGAACCCCCATACAGCAGTCTTTAAAACCTAAGCCACATTACTATATACCTTTTCTTATATATCTTTTCCTAATCTCTATATCTACCTTGTAGACCAGGGATTCTCTATATCTACCTTGTAGACCATCCTTGGCCTTCTTTGTATGCCTTGTGTCAATGGACCCATGAACCATCTAAGTGTTCTTTGTTCTCTATGACAAAGCACCTTATAGCATTCAGATAACAATTCCCCTTCCCTTACTTTAATTGTTTATCTCCTTTCCCTTCCCTCAATTCTTATCCAGTAAAATACAGAATAGTACAAAGGGAATTGATTCTACAAAAGTTCCTGTTGCTTGCCTTTATAGTTTATCAAGATAATATTCTCTCAACCGTCCATAAATTTGAAATTCTTTGAGAAGGGAAGAGTTACAAAGCAAAAGAAACTCCCATCTAATGTAGACCCCGCAAAAGGAGTCATACGCGCTTCTTCAGGACTTGTGCTTTGAAGCCTATGGAGCATGTTACCTATCCAACTAAAGATTTTTACTCACAGCTAAGGGCCTCATGAGATATTATTATTATTACTGTTATTATTTATTTTTTTAACTGGCAACCATGAGATTCAACTGCATTCTTTGGTTTGAGCCTGAGTGCCCAAACCATATACTACAGGATTCATGCATCTAGAGAGATTTGAGACTCGAGACATCCGATTAGGTCGCAGCAGGAAAAGTAGAAAATCAAGATCTCCTTAAATTGCTTTCGTTTTTTAGCATAGGTTATTTTTTGGTCAAAATTTAAGTCTCAAATCCTTGGCATGCAAACCAGATGTGTACCAACTACCACGTGACTGAAACTCAAGGGACATCCTACATTTTCTAGAGTTCTTTCTAATTTGCTACCCGTAATAATTGTAGCAGACGGCTGTCTTGTTATAATATGTGGTCTGTTGTTCCTGACCTATGCAGTTATCTTATGACCTGTGCCCATTCTCCAAAGTATTATGTTATGTTTCATTCCCCATATTGCTCTCATTTTCCAAGGACTTTCAGTGACATTGTTATCTTTTTCCTTTACGAAGTATCCTCCTAGGAGTTTGGAGTCCCCTAATGGTTTTGCCATTTCTTAGATGCTTTTTTATAATCTTTGTAAGAAACAATGCACAAAGTATTGAAGAAAATGAATGTCTCAAGTGGGTCTATCGTTATAGGTTGCGGTTGTGACAGTTGCATTCCCTGCAACGCCATTGCTTCTGGCGAGGGCTCGTATCTGCATATCTGCCTCCCACACAAGGGAAGACCTGATTAGAGGACTGGAGGTAACATTGCTTCTCTTTTTGCTGACTGGGGAAAATCATTTTTGTATACGAGTTTAAATTAAATTTGAGTCGCCTTTCGTTTACTCTTTGATCTCTCTCTCTCTCTCACACACACACACACATCGCATGCCAAAAATGCACCTGTCTGTCTTTAAAATACACACATCCCTCTTCCCCATTTCTTGGATCAATGTTCATGGGAAAGTCTTTTCTTGTATTATTTGAACATAGAATTCACGTTGCCAACATTTTGGCGTTCACTCTCAGAGACACTGTGTTCACAAATCTCTGCTCTCTATGATCATTGTTCGTGGGAAATCCTTTGTCTTACGTTGAATATGCTTTTCACCACTAGATTTTGCCAGCAGTTTGGCATCGTTCTCTCTCTCTCTCTCTCTCTCTGTCTATCTCACACACAGGCACACACACACAACCTCCATTCTCTAAGTTGGGTATACTGTAAAAAAGAGTCCCTTTCTGTGAATTGATCTGTCTAAAGATGCATCCGGATGTTAAGTGTCTCTATAACTAATAGACCGAATGTTTCCGAAGATAAAATGCGTTGCTTCTCTTTTACGTTTGTACTTGTCATTATTTCCACTCACACATTAGGTTTGTATGAGTGATGCAGTGATCCAATTTGATGTGGTTTTCAGGTCATAAGCCAAATCGGTGACCTAATTGGCATAAAGTATCTACCAATGGAGCCCGAGAAACAACATTTAGAGGATAGAGAGAAGCTGGAGTGAGAATCATTCTGGTGAGATTGTAGATCGAGAATGAAAATAGTCATAGTTGATCCAAAGGCAGAGAAATTACCCTATTTTATAGTGAGGTTTGTTCATCGATCATATGGAGCTCTACTAATGCTTTATGTGATGCCAATGCTGATCTTTGGGATCGGTTGATGTAACCTTCCAATCTGTTTGCTTTTTTGGGTTTCTTTTTTGAATTTATTCTTTGTTGTTCTCCTGCTTGTCTGGTTTATGTTATTAACAGATCATCATCAGAGCTTTTTCCCAACTATTCGGGGTCGGCTATGTTTTTAACAGATTTGTACATAAAAATAAAATGCATTTATAAAATTTAGAATATGAGTACCCTGTGTGAGCAGGAATGCATCCCTGCCTGTTAAACAGAAAATGATTTATAGATCTGGTTGCCACGGGCATACTCGACTTTGTATTATGTTTCGGTCGGTCGCCCAGAGAAATAAGTAGATGCCCTTTGATGCACCGTTTGTGCCTTACACCCTTACTTTGTCTGTCTGCTTGTGTTTATTTATGTGTGCATGCATGTATTTGAACCGAAATATCTTTATAATTAAATCCATTAATGATCTGCTGAGAGGTTAGACGACAAATAAAAGTTGGGGAAATTTATCAAACCATCCCCAAGAAATGCTTCATTTTATTCATAAAACCCTTCAATGACGTGTCATGGGTTAGAAACTGTTTTGAGCGGCAATTTCTAATTTTACCCCTGAATAGTTTTTAGGAAACCACCTATTTGAGTTATTCATATTTTTGAATACCATCTTACCTGAGGACCCAATGATATAGTGGTATTTTTATTTTTCTAGGTCTCGTAAACATTTGGTTTTTTTCTCTACCAATATCTCATGTGCTATTCACTTTTGATTTAAGGTCATATTTGTTATTGACCGTTAGATATGAAATCGGGTCATTTGGATGTCTTTATTAAGCGCAAAACCCAAAATAAACTTTCTCAGTTGTTGTGTTACTTTAATATATGTCAGATTTCACTTCCAATGGCTAAGAGTGATTGCAACCTTATAGTCTTATAGTATACAACTCCTAGTTCTAAATACCAATAACTTACAATAAATGCCATGAGAAGCATTGGCGTGATTTTGAAGGGTTAACAACTTAGTTGCAAATTGATTCATTCAAATTGATGGTATTGCTTGTAAAGGTTTTTTTACTTATTAGATACAGGGTTGTCTACAAAGATTTATCTTTTGTACAAATATGTCATAATCATTTTTGTCTCTTAAATTTCAAAATTGGCAGTTAGAAGAGTGTCATTAAATAGATACAAAGTTTCAAATTTTTTTTTCAAATTTCGTGATTCACCCTAAACTATTCAATCCCACATCTAATGAGTGGGAGTAGTCGTGACTATGACCTCTAAGTGGGAAAAGTGAGATACCATGTACCATTCCAAAACGAGATAATCTAAGTTTGAGTTGCCCATAGTCTTTTGAGTTAAAAATCTTACTTTTGATGGAGAGGGAGAGGGAGGGGGAGCTACTGCAGGGTATGGATGAGTGTTGATGGACAATAGGGGATAGGTAATCTCCAAACGACTTCGCAGGTTATGAAGTAGAGTTGATGGACGGTAGGGGATAGGTAATCTCCAAACAACTTCCTTCATCACGGTGAGGCTGCTCAAACACACACGCTTTCACTCTCTCTCCCTCTACCTTGGTAAAGTCTGCAAAAATCCTCCCTCTATTTCTCTCTCTCTCTCTCAAAGAATGTATTACACTATTTTTTACAACATGAATTCCTTTTATTTTTCGTGTTCATATATCGCGATGATCAATTTGGGGTGTTTTCCATCATGAAAACAACCTTTTTGGTAGGTTTTTGAGGTGCGTCTTGCTTCCGATATAAGGTTGGCACCTTGCCTAAACTTTCTCCTTTATAATTTATATTTCCCTATAAATGCTTGAAATCGGGTGATCTAAAATTAAGATATAAACCCAACAAAATACAAATGATAAGGATTTTTAAGATGTTGCGTTCTACAAAGCAACCATCAACCATTCCTCATCGACAGAGGGATATAACCCCAACAAAATACAAATGATAAGGATTTTTAAGATGTTGCATTCTACAGAGCAACCATCAACCATTCCTTGTCGACACTTGTTATTCCGAACAAAAAAAATAACATATTTTTGAATAGAATATCCACTCATCTCCACCATCCATTGATGTGAGATGGACAGTGGATGACCAGCCTATATACTATATATAATGAAAATCTCTCACTTTCACACATGTTCTGCTCAAAAAAGGTTTTCTTTTTGCTTGTGGTTCCCATGCAATCCAAAATGTCCATTACCAGCATATCCACACATAAAAAAGGAAAAGAAAAGATAAAAAAAGAAGACTGATATGCACATTGGACCAGTGTTTTAAAAAACGACGAGTCAAATCGGACTCGCCCGGTTCGACTCGGAAACACGCATGCCTGTGCCGGTTCCAACCGAAAACCGGGAACCGCCCGGTTCTAGAGTGGAACCGCCGGTTCCCATCCGGTTCCGCCCGGTTCTAGAGTGGAACCGCCGGTTCCCATCCGGTTCCGCCCTGTTCTAGAGTGGAACCGCCGGTTCCCATCCGGTTCAGCCCGGTTCTAGAGTGGAACAGCCGGTTCCCATCCGGTTCAGCTCGGCTTACACATGACACGCACGTTCAAGCGTGCCCCACCACACTCAAACGCGCACACGGGTATCCGAGCGCACGTGCAAGCGTGCCCACGCTCACTCAAACGCGCACACGGGTGTCCGAGCGCATGTGCGAGCGTGCCCCACCACACTCAAACGCGCACACGGGTGTCTGAGCGCACGTGTGCGAGCGTGCCCCACGCACACTCAAACGTGCACACGGGTGTCCGAGCACACTTGCGAGCGTGCCCCACACACACTCACACGCGCAC